GAGGAGGTTTGTACTTTGCTTCCCAGCCACACTGAGCCACTTGTTTCCTGAGCCAACCACGTGGGGCCACACCCACTGGACCCATGATTATTGTGCTTTCCGATCAAGCGGCTGCCTCATACATCACTTCAGAGAGTTCCTGAACCTGCGTCGTTTTCCAAGAAGCCCTGGTGGCCTTGTCGGTTATGCATTGGGCTGCTAACCCCCGGGTTAACAGTTCGAAGCCACCAGCCGCTCCTGAAGAGAAAGATCGGCTTTCTACTCCCATAACCGGTTATAGTCCACAGGGCAAGTCCTCTGTGAGTAGGAACCATGCTGATGGTAGTGAGTGCGTTGAGAGTCGTTTCACAGTCTGTCACAACTGTCTGTTATAATGGAATGAAATCACTCTCCATCAGGTTTGATGGAGACTGACTTTGGAGGTGACTTTCCCAAGAGGAAGATCACAAGAGTCAGAAAGGAAGAGCTGGTCATGGCTGCCCCATTGTTGGGAGGTGCCACCAACTAAAATGAGCAGATCACTTACAAAATCACCTAGGTACAATGAGGGTGCTGCTTGCAAGCCAACTTAGAAGGTGCAGTAATTTGCGTAAAGATAATCAGTTTGCATCAAAATGCAGTATCATCCCTGAAAATAAGTTATTCTCCTGAAAATGATATCATCAACCAAAACCACAGAAGACACCCAGGAACCAGGATACATACTTACAGGGCTGAACTCTCTGTGCCAACATCAGAAGAGACAGGCATTTAAACAGTCACACGTCCGGGTTGCCCCCTCCTTTGGTACGCTCTAAGCACGTGATTTGGCACCACCAAATGTCGCTGCAGGGACAGTTATACATCACCCTGGCAGATGTTCGCAAGTACACTAAGTGTAGCCCTGGCATCCCAAGACACAAGAGAAACAAAAACCTAAGTATGCCAGTCACTCCTCAGCGGTCACAAAAAGGTTTTAACCCTTACCTCCCCAGGGCTCTTGTGTTGGCCTTCCCAAAAACCAAACTCACTGCTACTGAGCCAATGCTGACTCATAATGACCCCCTGTGGGTTCCCAAGGTGGTAACTGTTGACCAGAGTAGAAAGCCCAGGAGCTGCTGGTGGTTTTGAACTGCCGACCATGCGGATTGCAGCCCAATGCATAACCACTACACCACTGAATTCAGTAAAATATCAGGAATACGGTCCTCTGGGTCTTATTGACTCTGCACAGGCATTTGGCTTTGGGGATCAAAAATTCAGATACCACTCCAAAGAATTCCAGAACACTTCATTATCCATGATGGTGGACTCTTGGTGGATCACAGCAAATTCAAGTTAGCACTGCAAAGACTGAGAATTCCAGAACACTGAATTTTGCCCCTGTGGAACCTGTACATGGACCAAGATGCAGACATTCAAATGGCACAAGGGTGCCATTTACTGGGTGGCTTAAAGTCTGCCAGGTGTGCATCAGGGCCGTAATCCTTTCACCATGCCGTCCATCCTAAATCAGTGGTCACGCTGAGCAGGTCATCCAAGAAGACGATCCAAGAAAGGATTATCAATAATCTGCAATAGGTTTGCTGAAAGCGAAGAGGACTTGAAGCCCTTACTGATGAAGATCAAAGACTGCCTTCCATCAAGAAGAAATTCTCATCGCCGAACCAGTAAGGAACATCGTGACAAAAGATCGACGCTGTCAAGGATGTCATTTTACTTGGATCCCCAGCCAACGCCCATGGAACCTAGAGGTCAGGAAATCAAGCAACACATCCTGCATTGGGCAGATCCACTGCACAGAAGTCTGTAAACTATTAAAAGGCGAAGAGATCACTTTGAAGACGAAGATGCACTTGATGCACTCCATGACCTTTGCAGTTGCCTCATCTGCACCAGAAAGTGAGATGATCCAGGACAAGGGAAGAAGAATCCATGCCTTTCCATTGGGATTGTCAGAGTCGTCAATATGCCTGGAGCTGCCGGGAGAGCGAACAAATACGGGTTGGAAGAAGTATCGTCAGATGCTCCTTAGACTCAAGGATGGCAAGACTCAGCCACTTGTACGTTGGACCCATTGTCCAGAGAGACCAGTACCTGGAGAAGGGCATCATGCCTGGTCAGCAACAAAGAAGACTCAAGTAGATGGCTGCCCCAGTGGCTACCACAATGATCTTAA